CAGAGTTAGAGCTACAAAATTCAAGAAAACTGTTCAAATCGAACCGCTATAGCATATAGCTACCATACAAACTGACCGATCAAAATCAAGTTCTTCTAAGCAAAAGTCTTTTGTTACATAAGCTAGTTTCACGAAATTTGATATCTGCTACTGACTAAGTCAAGCCTTCAATCTGCGAAAATTTTGTTGAGATTGGACTACAATAGCATATATGTAGTTGCCCTGCAAACTGAGCACTCAAAATTAATACAAATATTTTTCAGCCGAATTTAACGATTTATTTTTCTTGGTTTAACTTGTACTAAGTTATCTAACTCAAATGCTACTCGGCCCATCCACGTACATTTAGGCCTTTGTGCATTCTCTTCATCCAGTCACACCATGACTTGTCATTATCGGCTGGGTTAATTGAGCGCAACAGCCAGCAGACGCCATTTAAAGCGGTTACAACTTTTACGCATAGACAATTTCCTAAATCTCGAAGAAAGAGCTCCTAACGCCCACATTAATTTTTGTTTAGTTGCTACTTTTGTCATTCTGTGCAGTCGAGTTTGGGGTTTTAAAACGGTTTATGTTATTTAAAGTTCAAAATCCATTCATTCACATCACACATGAACATCTAGTGGCAGCAATAGTAGATTTGGGGCATGTGGCTTTTTACTCAAGCGCTCCAGCAGCCATCCCTACTCAAGTGTGTATTCCGTCGCTGTTGCCTTTTGTCAATTGTGATAACAATATTTTTGGCATTAGCGCTAAGCTTTGAAGCTTAATCCTTTATTTTTGCTTTGTGCTGCAAGTTTGCTGTCATGAAAACGGGGAGCATTCGGTATTTTTCCAACTTCGCTTTAACTGTGGTCGGCCACTAACTACCCAAAACAACCCAACCACGCCAGCAAAAAACAGATTTCTAGATTTGTCGCTTTGCTTGTGCAACTTCCCGTTACTTTGTCTCTTAAACAGCATAAATCGCCGAACTTTTACCCCTTTGCCCATTATGCTTTCAACCACTTTTCGTCATTTAAGTCATAATTATGGTAAATATTTTGTAATAATTCATATTCGTCGCTTGGCAATGTCAACAGGACATCACGGCAAGCATAATAAAAATGCACAATAAGTAAATATTATTCCTGTTACTATGTAGACACACAAAAATACATACGTATGGGTGTGTGTGTGCCCAAATGCCTGTTCATGTGTGCTCCCATCAAATGTTTGCGGCGTTTAGTGTTCGTAAATGGAAATTTAATTGTTTGGAAAATGTTGCATTGTGTTGTGCTCATTGCTCATTACTCTCTGCCACATCGCTTTCATTTTGGCAGCTAATGTGTGCAATTATCGCAGCAGGTCATCAACATTACCAACACCGACGACGTCATCATTATTACTAAATTCATCAACTTCACTGCCTTGTTGTTATTATTACTGCTTGCTGGCCTGACGTTACCCTGAATGATTTGCAACAGGATATACATACATGTATTATTTATAGACATATCAACATACTTATATATAGTTTTTTAATAACACAGTTGAATTGAGTTTGGACAATAATTGCTGAATTGGAAACATTTTTTTGTGAGTTATAATAATAGAGGCACTTATAGTTTCAGTATGCAACCTATAATTAACATATTTGGAAAATTTTTGGTGAGAAAATTTTAGTTTGGTCCCATATACCATCAGCTCGATAAACAGTGAATGCAAAAAATTCAAAAGAAAAAGATGTAGGTGTACTCGTGCTAATATAAATGATGTAAAATATACTAAGCTTAGGCCTAGTCGATCCACAGTGTGTTACCAACAGAAAAAGAGGGAAGTGACCCTAGATAACGCTGAAGAACAAACTTTAAACTGCCTCTACAAAAAGGCATCTGAAGCGGAACGTCTATATAAAATCGTCAAAATCAATAATATTTTATATAAAGATCCTCATTCGAACTAGAATGACAGCTGCGGCGATAACTTGTAGTCGAATTCTGAAACACAATAGTATTTTTAATGTGAAAAATATTTGAAGAGATTTCCTTCCAAAAAATAGTAAGAAATCATTTAAAAGCCTACAAAGAAGTATCACAAAACTTGAGGTTTGAGTTAGAGCAATCTCTCTATTTTCGTTCAACTTCATAAACTCAACCACTTCATTACATATAAAGATTCATAGAACGGTCACCACTTCAGAATTTCCAAAACGTACTTAAAATCACACCCATGCCCTACTAGCACGCCGAAATATGATTTCTCGGTCGGGGTTTTATAAAAATGGTCTAAGAATGATAAATAGCTCTCTCACTCTTCTTAGTTTTCAAACTGTCAAACTATTATCGCGGACCGGACTTAATAATAATGATTTGGAGACAGAGTTGCAGTGTTCTCTGTTGTTTATAGAATCTACAGATTCATTTTATAGCTAATAGAGACTGATTGACAGTTTTATAGATATGTGGGTACATTAAATTCGATGAATCTCTCAAATTAATATTTCACAGAGTATTTTTCTAAGGCTACAAATTGCAAACTGCATAAGATTCGCCTCAAGCGCAAAACAAGATCTCTCCATTAATTCAGAAAGATAATCACGAATCACAGAAATCGATTAGAAAATTATCAAATTTAAATTTTTAGTTTTCTCTGAGTAAAAATCACCTCATAATCTTCTTGTTGTTTTTGTGTTCTGAGTTGGAGCTTGCTTCAAATTCTAATATAGGGTTTTCTACTATAATTTTTGTAAATAATCGTATAAATAATGGTGCAACCAAAAAAAATTTATTTTAAACAATAACAAGAGTACAAAGAACTCACACATAAAAAGTAGATAGCGAGTAGTTTATTTCACAAATTTTCACAGCAATATTTCTGAGCTCTCTTTCTGTCAACTGAAATTTAATTTATTTTTTAGTTTCATTTTTGGTCACAGGAAGTGCACGACATTAATTAAATAGTACTTCTATAATTGTCCTATACACCATGAAGTCTCTCCTTGGACCCTTTGTATATACAAGTGGGCTGCCATGCTGCTCGGCTGACGGTCCTCCGCAACCACTCATGCTTGCTTTTATTTATTTATTTATGTATTTGATTGAATTTTTGGTAGCTCAATCCGTCTTAGTGTTTCAATTATTATTCCCTCAATATGTAAGCAAGTAAGTCTAATAATGTATACACTCTCTTACTTTGAATATCATTTAAATTMATTTTCCTGGCATGTAATGAAATTTTACAACAAATAATACTTAAATATTATATAATTCATATGCCTTGCTCGCATGTAAATTTGTTACCTCACTCTTAACTTCGCTAACATTTTTAACTCTTCACACTTCTTCTCAAAACACTAGGGTGCGTTCTCACTCTCAGCAAAACTTCCAGCAACTTTGCAGTTACATAAATTCATTTTCACTGTCATAGCTCTTATTCAGCTTTGCGCTCTTACTTCGAACAGTGTTACACCTGCACTCCACTGCTGCGCAAAGTGCTCGGTAACACGCATCAAAGCTCTCTTCATCAGTTATGCGCTCTTACATTCAARTGCGTTACACCTGCTTATGAATGCTGCGCGTGTTCTTGTATGCGTGACATAAGCTGTGTGCTCATCAGTGAGAAATGGTAATGAGTGATGCTATGATTGTTTGCATTGTTGTTGCAAATTTTTTAATGTTCGAAATTGACCCTCAAAATATTATGCATATAATAATAGGTAATGAAGAGTTGTTTTCTAGAATCGTGGAATGCGAAATTAAGGGGAAATCAGCTGAATTATTCCAATTGAGGAATGCAATGTAACAGTAAAAATATTTAGTTACAAGTGGTAAGGAGAGTGGACACACGTAATTCTTGGCTGATGTCGCGAATATTTGTTAAAATCGGGGAAAAGTATTGATTTAAATTGTTAAATCGTGTTTTTATTAAACTTAAAGTTAAAATCGTTAATACATGTAAAAAAAAAGAGTGTGGTGAAAGCCGTTTTGCGTTAAGTTCGTCGAAGTAATGAGTATATGGTGCAAATTCCTTAAGTGCGTGCTCGGTTTG